CTTCAAGGAGAACAGGCGGTGTAGAGACTTCAGGCCCAGCCTGAGGATTCCCAGCTCACATGGACCTTGCTCAGGAGTCCCACCCTGTTGGAGAGACAGATAGAATGACCACAAGAGGATGGAGAGTTGCTGAGAAGGAAAAACTGCCCTAAGCTAGTAGTGCCACATGGGAGAATATTTTATTGAGAGACTTGGGAGGTATCACACAAGGATCCCTGCCTTAGAGAAGCTGGTGAACATCAGGGTCAAAGAGAAGGGCACTGGGGGAACCCCTTAGGAGAAGGATAACACAAATGTGATGAATGTGGGAAGAGCTTTGTTCAGAGCTCAGGTTGCATCCAATGTCAAAGAATTCACACTGTAGAAAGACCCTATGAATATAACGAGTATGAGGAAATCTTCAGTCGGAGTTCTGGTCTTTTTTACTCACTGAGGAATCCACGACATACAGAAGCAGTACCACTGTGAGGAGTGTGGCAAGGCAGAGTGTAGGTCTCGTCCAGCACCAGAGAATCCACAGGGGAGAGCGGCCCTGTAAGTGCAGCCAATGCTGTAAGAGCTACAGTCAGCACTCCTTTTACACAGAGCACCAGAGAAGCCACACAGGGAGAGGCCTCGCCAGTGCAGTGAAGGAGGGGCGGGGGCGCTTTGATCAACTCGGTAACTTCATTGGCCATCAGAAGATTCGCAGCATGCTTGAGCTGGTCTAATCCTTGCTATGTCCAAGTTTTCCGGATCACTGGTCAAGGCCTGTGAAGCAGGTGAAGACTAGGAAACGTTTTTCTCCCACTGAATGTGTTTTGGAACAAATACTGACCTGTGGTGTAGGCACATCCTAAGAGGTTTTTGAAACTGCTGCTTTCCCTTCAGTTTCTTTACCTCTTCGCGGTTACTAGTCCATCCCTCTTATTTCCTCTCTTTGAGATGGCTCTAAACCTTCCCAACAATGTAATAACTCATGCCACTATAGCCAGCAAGCTGGACACTCTGTATCTGTATTTAATTCCTAAGGATGATAGAGAGCTCTGCTGCTGTTTTACGATCAATGATGGGTCTTTAGTGTTCACCATGACCCACACTTGCATGGCATACCTTTTCCACCTTACTGCTTCCCTCTCACACCTACCCACATGACACTCCTTCTTGGATGTTAGGTTTGAATGCTGGATACGTAAAATTTGTCAAGTTGTTCACCGTTCCACGCTCCAGTTTTATCATTTGTAAAAGACGTATTACAATATAATTACCTCATAAGGTTTTTGAGAGGATTTAAAAATGTAATCCAGATAAAGCTTAGTGCCTGACAGACTAAGCACTCAATAAATATTCATTATTTGTATTAAAACTGTTGACCCTGAGAAGGAATATACCTGCCAAGAAGGAGTCCAAGCAGTTAACTGGGCCCAAATTCATAACCAGAGTCTAGCAGCCATTGCTGACAGGGGCCTCGTATGTATACTACATCACCGGGAAAAGCCACAGACTGAGCTGCCAGCCTCCTGCACTGTGTTCCTACCAGCTGAGCTGAATCTTATAAAGGAATTCCTGGAACAGTACTTCAACAAATGGGCTGAGATCTGCCCCATACAATAAGAGCTGCACAGCTATATCCTCCATTTGTGTCTTTATTGACCAATCAGTGGCTCCATAACAACCAACCTATCAGGACAGCGTTATTTGGACCAATTAAACTGCAAATTTGGATTCCTCATTTGCGCAAAAAAGGACCAATTGGTGACCAGCATGGGCACTTTCTCTGTATAAGTGGGCCTCCCTGTCCTGACCAATGTGGCTTAGTTGGTTGTGAGGACAGAACACATAAAGAGATGCAACCAATTGATGTTCTCTCTCACACGTTGATATATTTCTCTCCCTCTCTCTCCTTCCCTTCCCCTCTCTCAAAAATAAACTAAAATCTTAAAAAAATAAATAAAAGTGGGTCCCCACTTTGTCTCAGTGAAATGCACTTTCAGTTTCTCTGGTTTGCAAACTGTTCACCTGAATAAAGTCTCTCCTTTTTCTGAACAACCAAAAAAATGTGGCATAACCATATAATGGAATATTATTCAGCCACACACAAAAAAACAAAGTACGTATATATGCTACAATATGAACCCTGGGAACATTCTTAGTGAACACAGCCAGACATAAAAGGACACATGTTGTATGATTAATTTATATGAAATGTCCAAAATAGGAAATCCAGAAAGAGAAAATATACTAGCGATTGCCTGGGGCTGAAGGGATGGAGAATGACGAATGGCTACTAATTGGTATAGGGTTTCCTTTGGAGTACTGAAAATGTTCTAAAATTGATTATGGTGATGTTCATAGAACTCTGAATATACTAAACAATAAATAATTGCAAGTGAACTTAAAAATTAGACTTAGAAGACTTAAGAGAAACCAATTTGCATCATTTAAACCTTATTTATATCCTGAGGGTTTTTTTTTAAATTATAAAATAAAATTACAAAGCAATCATGGAAATTTGAACATTGGCATTAACATCTGATGATATTGATGAATTATTGCTAATTACTTATAGATATGGAAACGGAACTGTGTTTTTAAAAAGGAGTACCTGTATTTTAGAGACACATAATAAAATATTTACTGATGAAATGATACAGTGTCTGGGATTTCCTTCAAAATAAACTGGGGAGAGAGGTAGAAAGTAAATAGGTATATAGGTGAAGTGCTCATGAGTTGATAATTGTTCATTAGACTATTCTCTTCATTTCCCTGATGTCTGAAAATTTCTATCAATAAAAAGGACAGAAGAGAGAAACTATTTCCATGCCATATTATTTTACTGTGTGCTAATTAAAAAATCCACAAGTGGGAAACCCCCATTTCAGTTGTATTCTCAAGAAATGACTAATGGACACCTGTATGTGTATTGTTTACAATTTGAGGAAATAAAGAGTTTTACTTTTAAAAAAAGAAACGATTGAAAATACCTTGGACTTCCCCTTCCATCCTTAGCAAACACTTTTTCTGCCTCAATTAAAACCTTTCCAAAAGTAGGCTTTCATTCTTAATGCTTTTTCCCTAAAAAAAAAAAAAAATTGTTGGTTTCTTTTGGTAATTTGTTTGGCTTTAAACCAAATTATTTTTTAAGTAAATTTTAAATCTCTTATCTTTGATATTAAGTTGCCTCTTGAAAGGTATACTGATCAATTTCCCCTGGCTTATCAATTTCACTTATTCCTATGATGAAGGCAGAACTGTAAGCCTGAGGCAGAGCTTCCTTCGTCACATTAAAAGGAAGAGATTTTCAGGGAATACTTAGCCCCAGTCCTTGTCCCAGAGCTGGACCACAAAACAACCCCACCTGAACCCCATGTCCTTATGAAAACAACCATGATAGCTCTCAGTTCCTGACTATACACCATGTGAGAGGCAAAATACCACTCACTTCACCTAAGTAATGTTATTTGATCATTTCAATAAGCCTAGGGGTCAGGTACTATTATATATCTCCATTTTGCTAGGACTTCCAAAATGATCAAGTAACTTGCTCTCAATCACACAGCTTTATGTGGCAGGACCATGATTTGAACCCAGGCTGTCTAGCTTCAAGGCCTGCACTTAACACCAAACTATATTACCTCCTGGGTAGAAACCAGCTCATCACATCTTTGTTGTGGTATCACTAATGTTCAAGGACCAGAAAACAATTGGTCCAAAAATCATTCACTCTAGACACAGAAGATGGACTGTCTCCCATGAAACCCACCCTTCGATCCCCAGCTCCCTCATTGGAACCATCAATTTCATAAATCTTGCTCTTGAATAGCAAAAACAAAAGCACAGAACTTGAAAAAAAAAAATCCACAGAGATCACTTAAAAGTTAAAAATGAAGAGATGTATTGCCTTCCCCTTGCCCCCTGCCGACCTTCAGAAATGCCTGGGTAAAATGCCTAGGACCAAGGGGCTGGACTTTTCCGTGAAGAGCAAACAGGCAGTGTGAGAGTAAGTGGGTCCTCCTAAGTAAATCCAGATCCCAGTCAGGGTGAGCACAGAGGCTTCCCTGAGTCACTCCCATCTCCACAAGCAACACCCAGGAATGACTTAGCACCAAAACAACAGAGGAAAATACTGAGAATTCCCATCTAAGTCTAGGGGCTAAACTTCAGAAACACTGAGGACGGCTTTTCACACCTACCTCCCTCCCCCTCAGAACCTCCCCACCAAAACCAGTCCCCTCCCTTTGTGGGAGGAATTGGAGTGGACAGGGCAGGGCAAGCGATGGTCCCCAGATGGGCTCCACATTGCACAAGGGAAGGCTGGCAGGACCCGACAAAGAAGATCTCAAATGATCTAAGAAAAGAAAATGAAGAGGCTGGAATTTGACGAAAAACCAAAATGTAAGAACCAAGGACCAAAGTGGGGAACAACTGGTGACTGGAAGAGCAAAGCACTGGGGACGGAAGACTAGAGGGGCGGGGAAAACAAAGAGGTTGGAGAATTCATAGTCCTCTGGGGACCAGGAGCTAAGGGGACACGGGGTTCAGGGGTCAGCAAACTAGACGTGTCTAGAGAGGACACTCAGCCTTTGTGGAGACTGAAGTGACTGGAGACAAGGGGCCTGGGTGGTGGGGATGACTGGGGAGCTGGGGGACCCTTAATTGGCAGTGGGACTCAAGGAGTCCAAGAGTGAGTTGGAACTGAAACACAGGAGGGAGCACCGGGGGTCTGGTAACTGGGCAGGGGGTCGGAGGACGGGGAGGGACTGGAGGATTGGGGTACAGGTGTGGAAGAGCTGGTTTTAACTGATGGACTGGAGTCAGGGGACTCGGAGTGCCTGGACTTCGGACGTCAGGGAACTGCAGGTGACCAGGAGCCAGGAACTGGGGTACATGGGGTCTGGAAACTGGAAGCGAAGGGACGGTGGTCTAGGAACGAGACGCAGGGACTCGGGCCGGAGTGTGCAGATGAAGTGGCGGGAGCCGGGGCGGCCGGGACAGGTGACAGCGGCGAGGCCGCCACTCACCGCTCATGGTGCCGCTCCCCGGGCTGGTGCCTGCGCTGTACCGCCGCCACTGCCGCCACTGCCGCCACTGCTGCCGCTGAGCTCTAGACAGGCCGGGCGACAGCGCGCCGCGCCTCGCCCCGCCCCGCCCCGCCCCGGAAGTGGAGCGGCACAGCTACGGCCCCGCCCCCTGACCCGGAACGTAAATTCCCCTCCGCCCCAACCCCAGGACGCAGGAGCCTAGACTTAGTGCAAAGCATTGGTGGTTGAGGTCCGGGAGCAGACAGCATCCCCTTTGGGGATAAATGGTGGTCAGCGAGTCCTGGGGGGGTGCTCTGGGGACGGTCAGGACGCCGTCTCGTCCTCCTGGGCTTACACCTCTGCGGGAAAGCCAGATAGTGAACAAGGAAGGCTACTAGATGAAAGGTTCCAAGCAGCGTTAGAAGCTGAGGAAGGGCATTTTTTAAAGAGTAACGGGCCAAAGCGTGGGTACAGGGGAGATGGACAATCCTAAAGGGCCTCTCTGAGGAGACGATTTTAGAGCTGATACCTTGATGCTAAAGAAACAGCCCAGGAAGATCCTCAGGAAAGGTGTTCCAAAAGCAGCAAGTGTAAAGGCGTTGCCTGGAGAGGTTGATGGACCGAGAGGGCAAATGAGAAAAGGGTATTAGAAGATTGAAGAGGTGGGTGGAAGGCCTTGAAAGCCGTCGTAAGGGGTTTGTACTTCTCAACCTAACTCTTAAGTAGGTAAGACATTGGGGGGCACTGCAAGAATTTAAGCAGAGGAGTGACGCGGTCTGAATTAAGTTTTTAAACTATTAGGGGTTGAGAATGAATTGTAGCAGGACGAGGTGAAGGAGGAGCAGCCGGTTAGGGGGGCATTGCAGTTGTCCAGCAAGAGACAGTACCTGAGGCTAGGGTGGTGGCAGTGGAAATGAAAGTAGATGGATCCTGCTCCAGAACTCGAATTGACAACAATCTTATTAATCCAGTTTCCCACCCCATTTTACAAATGGGGGTTAGAGGACCCAGGAAAATTAAAGGAGTATTTGCTAAACGTGTTTGCCTGCAACTCAGAGTAGAGAAGTACATTTTATTGTAACAACCATATTTATATTTAAGTATTAATAGTTTAACAACAATTCTGTAGGTAATGTGTTCTCTTCCACTTTACTTTTTTTTAAAATGCTGACTAAGACGCATGATCCACAAATATGCCTTGATACCCAGTTAAAAACACTGAACTGCAGACCAAGCCTCACTGAGAAAAGAGCCAGATTTCCAGCCCAATTCTGTTGTGACCCACAGTCCCATGGTCTTTCTATTACATTCCAACTCAACACATAATCTCTGGACCCTTGGAATTTATCTTTTGGGCTCAGCAGAGGTCAAGAGCTGTTTGGAGAATGCATTATTCTCTGCAGCAGTGTTTATAATAATGAAAAAGTGGAGAGCACCAAAGCCCAACTATAGTAGAATAGCTAAGCAAATCATGGCTAACCTCACAAGGAATCTCTGCAGTTGTTGAGAATGCTAATTATAAAGATTATGGGAGAGCGGGAAAGGCCACTGATAAAACATTAAAATGAAAAAGCCCCATGCATCCCTAGCCAGCACATCTGCAAAGTGAAACATCATTGGTTCAATTCCGAGTCAGGGCACATGTCTAGGTTGCAGGTTCAGTCCCCTGTCAGGGTGCATGGAAGAGGCAACCTATTGATATTTTCTCTCCCTCTTTTTCTCCCTCCTTCCCACTCTCTCTCTAAAACATAAATTTTTTTTTTTAAAAAGCCCCATGCAAAATGGTCTGTACACCATGATTACAATTGTGTCAAAATACAGCCATGTGTAGGAGAATGTAACAATGAAAATACTTGTCAGATGGGTACTAGACTTATCAGTGTAATCACTTTGTCAGTTATCTGAATGTCTTATCACCATGTTGTATACCTGAAACTAATATGATATGTCAACTGTAATTGACATTTCTTACTTTTTCTTTTTAATGAAAATACTTGTGTATTCAGTTGATAGGGTTGTTTTTCCCATTTTCAAAATTATACTTGACAATTGTTAATTTCTTATTCTAGTTAAAGAGTGGGTATGCCTGAATCCTCCCTAAAGAGCCTAGTGTAGATCTGCCTGCCTCTGTAACCTTTGGTAAGTCATCACATACATGCTTCATGGAGCTGTCATGAAGATGACTATGTTATACTTTCTCATAGCACCCAGTACCTTTTTTTTTAACGATTTTATTTAGTTATTTTTAGAGAAGGGAATGAGAAAGAAAAGGAGAGAAATATCAATGTGCGATAAATACATCATAGGTTGCCTCTTGCATGCCCCCATCTGGGGATCCAGCAGGTTGAACCAGTGACCTTTCAGTTCACAGTTCGGCACTCAATCTACTGAGTCACACCAGCCAGGACTTTTTTCTTTATATCACTTGGTGCAGGATAAGTTATTGAAATTGTAGTTTGTGCTTTTTGTTTTCTACAACCAACCATCCCCTTTAAGTATTGTAATTCCTTCTCATTGAGATGTTAGCCTGGTCCTGGAAGTTAAGAATCAAACACCTAACGTCAACTTTTGCAACATCGAAATTCATTGAGGAGGTTGTTACTGGGCATGTGGGAATGAGGAGCAGCTAGGAACGATATAGCAGAAAAGAAATGTGTGCCTGCCCTCAGAGAGACCTGACCTCAAAGGGACTAATAAAAATCATAGCGATGTAACTAACCGAATCACTTATTATGAACCAGATATCTTTATGGAAAAAAATATTTGCATGTATAACATAAAGTGGTTAAGCAAATTTATTATAGTCACCAAAGGTCTATAACTTTCTAGTAACAGCCAGGATTGAAACCCAGACAGTCTGGTTCCAGAGTCAATGCTTTAATCACTATACTGTTTTTTCTCCTATGGCGCTCAAGGGCCTGGAATGGAGCCATGATGGGCCCCAAATGGTTAAAAAGATTCCCCCAAAGTGTCCCTATATCCCAGACTGGATACAAAAAGCACAAAGCCCCAAAACCTTGAGGTTCTATGCTGTGGTGCCAGTGGGCCTTTGAGCAATGATCAAAGTCAACAGATTATCACAGGGCATCACCTGTTGCATAGCCTTTTCATAAGGAGCTTTGCTTAACTCCAGGAAGGGACCCCTCTCCCTGTAATGACTAAGATTGTAGCCCAAAGAGATGGGAAACTCAGAAATGGAACTAAGTTAATGTGAAGCGAAAAAAGAAATAGATCAAAATGTCTGGTTTAAATCATGACTTTGCCAAAGTAGCCGGCTATGTTACCTTGCTCTGACTTAGCTTCTGTCATGATCTATAAAATGTAGATGATAATGGCCCACCTACCTTGTAGTTTTGTTTTATGCATTAAATGAGTTAGTACGGGTAAAGCACTTAGAACAATCCCTGCACATTAGTAACTACGTAAGTGTTAACTATCGTTATTGCTTGTATTTGGGCCTGTAAATGATACCTAGTAAACTTTTATCACAGTTTGTAATTCTACATATATTTATATAACTATAATGATGCCTGAGGTTACCATTAAGCTGGAAACTGAAAAGGTCAGGAACTACCCATGCATTGCACACTGAATTAGCATGGTGGACTCTAGGCTTCTCCTATCAATAGAAGTGCATAGAATAACCTTACTTGCCTTTAACAATAAAGAGAAAAATTCAGTTTGTTCTGAAGTACATATGTGTATGTATAGGAGGGAAGTGACCCAGCCATAGAAATTTGTGACTCTGGGACCTACACATTGCAGTTCTTTTCTCCAGTGAGTCAAGAATTTCATCATTGAAACCAATGAAGTGTCTACAGTTAAGCTCCCAACAGTAAAATAGAGAAATGTATCTAACATAAAGATTTTCTAGGATTAGAGGACAAAAAGCTATATCAGCAACTGATAACAATCATCCTAAAGAGATCCCATATATCATCCTTTCCTTCTGACAAAAGATTTTGAAAGTAGCTCTACACTACTCAAAATGGTTAATTATATAGTTGAAATTGATTTCTCCATCCTTGCAAAACACCCAGCAGCTTGCAGGCCATTGCAATAGTCATTTGTTTTTGTGGTGACAAGGATGGTGGCGCCTTCCTCCATAGCGGGGAGAGGAAAGAAGTCATCAGAATCAACCTTCTGTAGGCTCCTCACACAGTCTTCACAGGTACATTCTTCTACTGTGTACGCCAGGCGTTTGGGAAGCATTTCCTCACGGCTCCTGCTATCTTTTCTATCATCCACGTCAGCATTAGCCTCCTTCCGGAGAGCTGATCCTGATTATGCAGAAACAGAAAGGTTAACCTAAACTTCCCAGGGGGGTATGGTCATAACAGTCTTAGCAGTACACCTCAGGCTCAAAACACTATGAGACAGATCTTTTCCTACAAAACAAATGAGTGTAGTCCTACACTAGAAATCATGAACTAGCAGACCACCAGACACAATAGGCTCAAAGACATACCTTAAGGTATAGAGTGTTTTTAGTGTTTACTTATGTTGGCCACATTTGAAAATCGAGTGATTTTACATACAAATCTAGACAACTGGCTTCGGCCTTATTTTACAAGCATAAAACAAGTTACCACTGTACTATCACAGTACACCAAGATTAACCCATGGGTCATACTTTAGAATTCAAAGTAAAGAGGTTTCTCTCTTCACATTGTGTATCAGATTAAAATTGTTTTAGTGAATCTCTGTGATCACATAAGGAAGGAGTCTCCATTATGCCCCCATTATATGCCTGTGGAGTTTTACTACTTCCCCAACCTTCCTCATTATAATTCCATCTTCCAAAATACCACACTTAAAAGTCACCCCCCCTCCACCTTTCTCAGACCTCAGGCATAACAAAAATAAAATGGAGTGAATTATATAGGATAACCATTTACCTTTCCTTACTGCACAAGAAAGTAAAGAAGGTAGATGGTTTACAGATTATGCACACAAAAAAATGCATAAAGAAATAAGGCAATGGCTACAGAGTGTTCGGGAATCAGATCATGGGCAAAGGTGCTGCAGATATAGTTTTATCTTAAAGAGCCCTTTAGACCTTGAGGGTATTAAGGAACAATCACTTCTCTAGGAAAATCCAGTCCTCTGGGACTGCTTCTCTCCTCCCTGTGAAGATAATAATCTTTGAGATAATTGCTCAAACAATCCAGGAGCAACTAGTTATTCATTTCTAACATTTTTCAGCAGTAAAATGTTCACCCAAGCAAATAACACATATTTGTATTAAATATATGACCACAGGTCTTGCTGAATATACTTCTCCTGATAGTAGCACACCTGGCTAGCAGTTTCTGATAACATGACATTTAATTAATGTACAAACTTTGATCAAAGAGATGGATGGTTTGCACTGGCCAGGTAGCTCAATTGTTAGAGTGTCATCCTGATACACCAAGGTTGCTCGTTCGATTCCCAGTCAGGGTGCATACAAGAGTCAACCAATGAATGTATCAATGAATGGAACAACAAATCAATCTCTCTCTCTCTCTCTCTCTCTCTCTCTCTCTCTCTCTCTCACACACACACACACACACACACACACACACCCCTTCTCTAAAAAAGAGAGAGAGATGGATGCTTCCCAAGGAAGCCTCAGTAATTCAAAAGAGTAAATATCAAGGGAAGAATGTGGGAGAAGGCTGACATTGTATGACACCTGCAAAGAAGGTGTAAACACTAGAAAGAAGACAGGTCTCTTCTACCAAGAAGTTCAGTTAAGGTAACTGTTCTCTAACACACTCAAAAGGGCTCTAACCAAATGAAACATTCAGCATAAAAAAGGAAAAGGAACTGAAGCTAGCAACAACCACTTCCTAGAAACAGGTTTCAAAGATTGACTGTCAAACCAACCTGTGCTTTTAAATTCGTCCCTTAATTGTTGAGAGTTCATCTTCCTTAGCAAGAACATCAGCACGAAAACTGTCAAAGACACTAGCAAGCTCAGGCCCAAACAGGTCCAAAGAATGACATTGGTTCCTTTCGCTAAATTAAAAGAAATGTCAGAGAGATAATGAACTGATAACATCTACATCAAGTAAAGATTATTTGCTATCCAATTCCCCTAATTCATCAACACTGACTTTCAAATGCTAAATAACACTTAATTAGAAGAGTTGATAAAATACTGGGTTGCTAACAGTGCTGAATAAAATTGAGTGCAGCTCTGAATAATTACTTTATTCCTGTTGGCATTTAAATAATTCCCCTGTTCCCTTTTCCTTTTTTGCAGAAAATCTCACCATCTTCCCTTGTAATGTTTATTCCTTGAATAAAGAGCCAGTATACAGAGAATACTTCACATCAATGAATAATTACTCAAGCAGTGGTACTTACTTGTATTACAATAACGCTGACACCTTGGAGGAGGGGTATTAGAACATCGAAGTTGACACGATTTGCAAGCCTTCAGCAATTCGTCAAAATACTCATTTTGGAGGCACTGCTGAGCCATCTGGAACTCGTCCACAAAAAGAAACAAGGAGACCACAGAAAGAACAGCATGGAAAGACAAGTAAAATCTCGTCAAGAATCCCCAGCAAGTGGAGTGATAGGCACCTACAATGTTGAGGGAAAAAAAGAAGCGCACTTGGATGACTTGGTTCTTAAGAGAGCTGCCTCCTTGACCAGTGGTTGCTAAGGATTTGAATACCAACAACAGAGTTACCTTTTCATAGTTTGAAGCTTGGGTAGGGGAAGGATGGAGCGTGAATACCAACAGCAAAACAAACCTGAAACAGAAACTGCTTATTTATAGTGACAGTTTCTCAGCCAGGTGACAATTAACAAGAGGTAGACAAGCCTGAGCCACCAAGCAGAAGGTTCAATAACCATGTTTAGAGCACCTGTTTATGAGCAGTGCTGTATGATGGGCCCCAGGGAGCTAGATAAGACAAGGCCTGTGCCCCTTAAGAACTTACAATCTAACAAAAGAGAGAAAAAGTCACTCAAGTAACCCCAAAGTATAGTTGAAACTGATGGAATGTGAAAGAGGAAAAGGATATTGAGCACACCTACCAGGTTTTGAACCTAAGAATTCTAGAATTCTGACAGAATAGGGAAGTCTGGGGTAAAGGCTAAATTGGCATGAGAGTTGAAGGGAAAGATAAATTTGGGGTATTATTATTATTATTAATTACTATTAAAGTAATCCATGTCTCATTGTTAAAAGTTTAGAAAATACTAACTATGCATAGTCCTAGCATTCAGAAATAATCACTGGTAACATTTTGGTGTATCTCAGAGGTGACAAATAGGCCTTCTGATGTGTTCTGTTTGACCCACCCATGAAACAGATCTTTCTGGAAGGATTTCTGTGGATGGATGTGGATAGATAGATTTACATAATGTATTTCTCTATTACATAAATGGAACCACTTGTGTTTGCTTTTAACCATACTGAGTGAGATACCCATATAGAAATAACCAGAGAGGTCAGTCGGAAATGCAGGATTCAGTTAAAAGGCAAGGAAATGACAAACTCCAAATTCAGTAGAGTGATTATCTCTTCATGGCAGGAAGGGTACAAAAGAGGCTTCACCTGTATTGGTCTCACATTTTATTAGGCTGAATAGTAGATACATTGGTATTTATTTTGTCATTTGTTATATTTTTTTGTTATTCTTTGTAGCTTTTCATATTTTTTTAAATAGTACATAATAACTATTAACATAATGATAATAAAACAAAATGCAAGAATTAAAAACACAATTTTTTTTCAATGAAGGATTTGAGCCTAGAAGACAGTTCTGGCTTGGATGTTGACCGCCTTGCCCTGCTTTGTGGCCCAGGCAGTGGGCTAACTGGCATGCCTGCCTGTGTGCGATAGCCAGGAGCTGAAAGGGCTGGCCCAGCAGGTCCGCTTCCTCCAGCTCCTGCCAAATGATGACTTTTGGAAGACAGGCAAAGGACACAGGAAAAGCATGATTAGAGAAAGAGGAAGACAAACATGATCCCCATAACAGCCAAACAAGGAGAGAGTTTCAGGACAGGACAAGCAGCGAGGTCAAATCCCAAAGAAAAGTCAAAGGTGACCCACTCAGGTCCCTGGTAGTCTTTGAGTGTGTCAGTGGGTAATAGCCACATTACAGGTATTTAAGGAGCAGAGAAAAAGAGGAGGCCGCCCAAGTGGGCCATGCCTGGGAAGTCTGGAGGCAACTGGAAGAACAAAGCTTTGATAACTCTTGGAAAAGAAAGCCCTGTTATTTCTGACAGATGTGCTTCCTTAGGTGCCTGAAGTCACATGTACAAGGGTGTTCACTGCGGCATCATTTGTATTCGCAAAAGGCTGTCCATCAGTGGGAGTGGGGGGTGACCTCAGTGTCAAATATTACATAACCATCAAAAAGAATGGAACAGATGTGTTTTGATATGAGTGAAACATCACTGAGCCGAAAATAAAAGGTACCAAACAGTGTGTATAATCTGCCCTGCTGTGTTTACAAATAAAATAACTAGGGTTTGTATATAGAGACATAAATATAGGCTATATCTGGAAAGATAACAGAAGACTGACAGTAATTATTGCCTCTGGCAGGAGATGGGAAATGTAGTGTGGGAAGAAGACTTACTTTTCATTGAAAAATCTTTGGTACTGTTTGAACAACTATTTTTTAATAATAAGGATTATTTTTAAAATATGAATCATTTCCTATAGGGTGATATCTTAGTCGTTCTGACTGCTATAACAAGATCCTATAGACTGGGTGGATTATAAATAACAGAAATTTATTTCTCGCAGTTCTAGAGGCTAGAAATCCAAGATCAAGGTACCAGCAGATTTGGTGTCTCATGGAAGTAGAGCCTACTTCCTGGTTCATAAACAGCCAACTTTTCACTATAACCTCACAGGAGAGAAGGGGCAGGACATCCCTCTAGAACCTCTTTGATAAGGGCATTAATCCCATTCATAAGGGCTCCCTCCTCAGACCTAAACACCTCCCATCCAAAGGCCCCCATCTCTATTACCATAACATTGGGGATTAGATTTCAACAGTCGAATGGGGGGCCGGAACAAACATGTCTATTGCAGGTGAGAACTTCAAAGAGAAGAGGAAGTGAAAGGAAGGTTTCCTAAAGATGAAGAGCACAGACTAAGGAAAAAAGAATAAAGATTAGAGATGTCAAAGAACTTCTATGTATGATCCATGGACATGAACTAAGGGAGTGTGGGGATTGCTAGAGGGAATGGGGCTACTGGGAGGAAGGGGATAGAGGGAGGAAAATAATGGGACAATTGTAATACCATAATCAATAAAATATATTTTTTTTAAAAAAGATTAAAGATGTAAGAGACACCACCCTTGAGCAGAATCTAAGTGAATGTGACGCCTGAAAACCAAAAGCATCAAAGGAAGCCTTTCCCTGGGGGCACTCACAGGGCCTTAAGAGCACTGAAAACTACGGAGGTTATTCCTCATCACCTGTAGGCCTCCAGCAGCCTGAGGAAGACCAGGGGTGGTTTCATCCTCAGAGGTTATACCAGACATTCTTGGCCTGTCACCATGCCTCTCAAACATTCAGGGTGGGCTCCCAGGAACCAGGGCCAAGGGGCTTGCCTTCTCTCCCTCTTTGACTTAGCCTGCCTCGCCACATGTATATTCACTGTCCTGGTCGTTTCAAGCTTGAACACAGGCAACGATGTCAGAAATAGGCCCAGAGAGACTTTTGATGAGAGCCTGCTGAGGCTCCTGAGGGTGGCTCTGGTTCCTCCCCTTCCCCAGGTTTGTTGTTCAGTTTGTTCAGTTCTGTCTTTGATTCTGGGGACAACCCTGTGAGCCTTCCAATAAAGTCTAATTTTGGCTTAAATTAGCCAGAGTCAGTTCTGCTTGGTTAAGGAATCCAAAAATAAAAATGAAATCCTTAAACCAGCCTTGGCCAGTGTGGCTCAGGTGGCTGGAGCATCATCCCTAATACCAAAAGGTTGAGGGTTTGATCCCCAATCAGGGGCACATACTGGAGGTAAACAATCGATATTTCTCACTCACATCGATGTTTCTCTCTCCCTTCCTTTCTCTCTAAAATCAATAAACATATATATTTTTTAAATCCTTAACCATATCAACCAGTTCTTAACTGATTCCTCCACTCATGCCTGAAATGTCGACAACTGACTGCTTGCGTTAAGTCGTGCTTTCCCCCTCGCCCCTCAGGATGGGGGCGATGGGTTGATTCTGACATCATAGGTCAGCAGACTCTCCTCCAGGACAGGATATCTGATGGGGAAAGACAGACTAATAGAAGACAGAGATAAAGGGGCAAAAGAGGTTAGGAGACATCATAGTAGTCAGAACTCTTTCCACCAGAAATCACATAAAAACAAGTTTAAAAAAAATTTACTGGTTTTATAGCTGAAAAGTAGAATGGTAGAATCAGCTTTAGTGGTTTGCATTATGGCCAACAATATCCTGGTTTGTCTCCATCACTTGGCTCAACCATGCCATCTTCTGGGTCTTGACTCTGTTCTCAGGTCCTCCCTTCATGTTCGTAAGAGAGCTACAGCACCTCCAGACCTCGCAGACCCCTATTTCTTCTAAACTCTTCCCTAAGAAATTTCACCTGCTCTCATGGTTTTAAACATGTTAACTTCCAAACCTATATATCCAACTCCAACTTTGCCCCTGAAGTCCAGACCGATCTATCAACTTCAAAATCTAATAGGTGTCTCAAATTTTATTAAAGTACACTTAGATTCTCCAAAAGGGAGAAGGTGTGCTGCCCTTCTCAAGCTTACTTGGTCATAGAATCCTTTTGTTGTTGTTGTTCAAGGACCACCTCTGAACATTTAGGAATATGAGATCTGTCGGGGGAAAGTCCAGCCATTGTTAATATAACGAGAACAGTTTGTGCAACATTGATGTGACTTGGCAGCCAAGGAGAGTGGACTAGAGAGTCGTGGACAAGGTGAGTAGAATATGCATGTGTGAACAATGATAACTTCACTGTATTTGTCAGTGGGGGTGGTAGATGCCATTGAGTGAGCATGTGGTCTGTGTGGCTGTCTCATTCAAAATGACAGCTAGTAGAGCAATGAATCTGTATCAAATTTTGTGCTAAGCTTGAACATTCTTCCACAGAAACTATTCAGATGATTCAGAAGGCCGCAGCTATGGCCAACTGGCGATTGGCAGCTTCATCATGACAATGTGCCTGCTCGGGCATCATGTCTCATGCAGAGTTTTTTGGCAAAACATCAAATCAACTCAGGTGACTCAGCACCCCCTACAGCCCAGATTTGGCACCCTGCAACTCCTGGCTTTTCCCAAAACTAAAATCACCTTGGAAAGGGAAGAGATTTCAGACCATTGATGAGATTCAGGAAAATTCAATGGGACAGCTGATAGTGACTGGGAGAACTGACTGAGGTCCCAAGGTAGGCACTTACTTTGAAGGGGACTGAGGCTTCATTGTCCTATGTACAATGTTTCTCGTATCTTGTATCTTCTTCAATAAATGTCTCTATTTTTCATAGTATATGGCTGGATATCCTCTGGA